CTTAAAGAGTTACAGAATTCGTTGGCTTTAAAAGTGGCACGCGAGGGCTTCCTTGCTCTATGGTGAGAGACTGAGGATATATTTTTTGGCAAAAAAAAACGTTTTCTTTTTAAAACTTTACGGATTAATATTTAGTGCAAGGAGTGAAATATACATATTTAGACTTCTTCTCAAGTTACTCTCAGTCATTTTTAGTACAAAAGGGTAAAATGTCAAAATGTCGAATATCCGAGTGTTGTAAATTCGAGCCGGGAGGATTACGGTTGCGCCGAGAGGGATTGAGACCATTTTTGAGAAACATCTGATTTTGCCCAATTTTAGTAAAATATGCACAAAATTTTGCTAAAAAAGCAAGGTTAATTCCTTACAATTTTAGATTTTTCATACAAATCTGATATTGACAAATTTTGCTAAATATACAAGGTTCACCCCTTAGGGGCCATTCAGAATTTTCAATGTTTTAAAATTTCGACTTTTTTTCCAAATTATTTTGACCCACCCACCCACCCCTAATTTCGATTAATAAAAAAAACTGAACATGTACATGTACATGCACTTGCATACATACTTGAACATGGACATATATACCCCTGTAGGCCCTACATGTGTGTCTAGTTCAGTGACGGCGTGAAGTTATCGGTCTTCCTCTTTTGCACTGGTGACCTTCAGTTTTCTTGTGTTTTGCCAGCTGATATGCTGTTGGGAAAGACAGGTTGCAGTTTTGGAAGCCACAAAGATGACCGTGGTTTTGTCGGGGTTTTTTTGGATGAGGTGGACGACACGTGACATACGAGGTTGTGCCTGTCACGTGAGGTATTCAGCAATTCCAGTAGTACAGTTTTGCCATGTTTTTCGCTTGACACGGCTTAGCCTAAAGAGTTACAGAATTCGTTGGCTTTAAAAGTGGCACGCGAGGCCGGCTTCCTTGCTCTATGGTGAGAGACTGAGGATATATTTTTTGGCAAAAAAACGTTTTCTTTTTAAAACTTTACGGATTAATATTTAGTGCAAGGAGTGAAATATACATATTTAGACTTCTTCTCAAGTTACTCTCAGTCATTTTTAGTACAAAAGGGTAAAATGTCAAAATGTCGAATATCCGAGTGTTGTAAATTCGAGCCGGGAGGATTACGGTTGCGCCGAGAGGGATTGAGACCATTATACGGCCGACAAAGAAAAGAAAATTCCCATAAGGCCTATATCTGCAAAATTTCACTAAATCGATAGATGGGTAAAGCATAGAGAAAAGACATCCAAACTTCAATTATAAGCGCCCCGAATTGCGAATAATTCGGTATCAAAACAGTCTCAGCCCAACTCATTTCACATCGAGGCTTACATCCATGCACTTGAACACCCGTTTTTCATCGCGGATAGAACAGATTTCCGGCTTTGGAATGAATTTGGTCCGTCGTTAATGACAGCAATTTTAATTTGTTTTTAAATCATTTTACGAAAGGGGAAGGAAAAAGAATGTATTAGTGCCTTGAGAAAATCGGTGCATTGGTAAACCCAGCCCGATTAATTTTAGCCTATGATGAGACGGAGATTCGGCTTTTTCAACATTCACTGCCATTGGGTGAAACGAAAACCAGTAATTCAGTCAGACGATTTTGTTCCATCGCTAATTTCAGAAATGTCCAGATTCGATCGATGGGTTAAGGCACATCTAAAGTTTAATTTATTAGCGCCCCGAATAATTCGGTATCGAAACAGTCTCAGTCCAACTAATTTCATATTGAGGTTAAAATCCAGGAATATTTTTTTTGTTAAATCATCTTACGAAAGGGGAATGAAATAGAATCCTGCCCCGAAAAAATCGACGCAGTGGCAAGCCCTTTTGAAATTCCTTCAAATCCACAGTGCAATTGGGTCCGGAAGGGCCACGTTCTGAGGCCGAGGGCCCAGAGATGAGAGTGCCCGGCCCGTGCTGACAGGCGCGGTCCGCTGATCAGAGTGCACGTACGTTCGTTGCGCCCCGCACACCGCCGAGGTCTGATGAGGCAGCGGCGGCCGATAACGGGTTCAGCTAGTATTGTTTTGGACGGGAAAATATTGCAAAAATAGCAAACGGACTAGGGTTTGTACCCGAACACAGTGCTCGCCCAAAACGCACCCATTTTGCCGATAGGCACAGAGCCCCTTGCTAATGATGTAAGCAATCATAATGATGAAATTTTTCAGACATATTAACATTTTGGTGGTTGTAGTCAGTATCGGCCGTATTATATCATGGCCTTATAATCCCTCTCAGTGCCGTTCCCGGCTCGAATTTACAACAGTCGATCGGATATTCGACATGTTGTACTATAAAAAAAGAGTGCAACTTGAGGATAAGTCTAAATTGGTACTTCACTAAACTTGCACTGAATATTAATATTGTCAAGTTAAAAAAAAAAATCTATCTTCGGCCCAAATGTCACACAACTTCCATCGTGTGCCACATAAGCCAATGAATTACATAACTGCGTTTGTTGCCTATCAGCTTATGCTAACAAATTATCATGAAACTGGATCATTAAACGGGACAGGTGGACATCGGCCTTGGAGCAGACCATCATGTCATGCACTCCTCAATGCATAGATGATGCACATAACACTATGGGTAGTACAGGCACAGCTAGGGGTACTGCCCAAACAATAATGAACGCATTGCGTATGCCGAATTACCCACAATTCCGGTTTTTACCGTTTAGGTCTGGCTCTAATTACTTACGCGATCCCCTGACGTCTCATACACTGACTTTAGGCAAAATAGTCAAACTTTCGCGGTCTAGTAACCAGAATGTGACTCTTAACGAAACATCGAATGAAAAGTGAAACATCAAATGCATATTGCAAAAGATCGAATGCAAACATACCGATGAAACATCGAATACAAATAGCTCGAAATGTCGAACATATTTGTAAAACATTGCTCACATATTTGAGAATATCGCAAATATATTGCAAAACATCACACACAATTGTATCGAAAAACATCGCACATTTAATGCAAAACATCGAACATAATATTGAAAACATCGCAGTTTTTTTTTCCCGCACATATATATCGTCAAACATCGCACATATCAATTGAAAATCGCATATAAATGTAAAACATCGCATACATATATTGAACATCGCACACATATTGTAAAACATCGCACACATATATTAAACATCGCACACATAATGAAAAACATCACACACTTATGTTGAACATCGCACATAAATGTAAAAGATAAACACATATTGAACATCCAACATATATATATATTGTAAAACATTGAATATTGCAACGTTTGACACGCCATAGTGTGCGGCACTGTCACCGGCCTGCACCACTGATCTCTATATAAAGACTGGATAGCTAATAAAGAGCCGCACAATGTACGAATTTGACGCCATATTGGTGAGACCGGCTGGTGATCTACAAAGGACAAGTTGCCATCTTTATAGACAGCATGATTTCTTTTGTAACGTCGCGGTTCACTCACTTGACTTATATTTTGGCCACCACCACTGACCAACTGACCAAGGTTTACTACAATTTTTCTAACGTCGTGATTACTTTTATAATGCCGCAAATCACTTTCTCGGCGTTTTTGAAATAATAACCACCACGGAAATGTGTCCTTTTTAGAACATCATAATATGTGTACGTGACCAAAATGCGCGTCAACTGTTGATACAACGCGCGCGTATTTACGCGTAGAACGTTCGTATATACGCGGCCATCTTCGTGAGACCGGGGGCGAATTGGTCAATATGCAAAGTCTACTGTGTGAATGTTGTATGCATATCCGCTATCCAGTCTTTATATAGAGATCATTGGCCTGCACTGGCCGTGCATCAAGGCGACGGCCGGTGGGGCTGTGCGGCCAGGCGCGGCACTGCCAAAGGCAGTGCCGATGGCCGGCCGTACCGTGCACCGTGGCGATGGCCGGTGGGGATGTGCGGCCAGGCGCGGCACTGCGAGGAAGATAATCCCTTCCTCGATACCGCGTTACCGTGATAATTTATCACAGAAATCCGGAATTCAGAGATACCTCTTCCTCGATACCGCGTTACTGTGATAATTTATCACAGAAATCCAGAATTCAAAGATACGTATTCCTCGATACCGCGTTACCGTGATAATTTATCACAGAAATCCTGAATTCAGCGATACCTGTTCCTCGATACCGCGTTACCGTGATAACTTTTCGCAGAAATCCGGAATTCAAAGATAAATCGGTAACGAGAAAGGAATTATCTTTGAATTCCGGATTTCTGTGATAAATTATCGCAGTAACGCGGTATCGCGGAAGGAATTATCTTTGAATTCAGGATTTCTGTGATAAATTATCACGGTAACGCGGTATCGCGGAAGGAATTATCTTTGAATTCCGGATTTCTGTGATAAATTATCGCAGTAACGCGGTATCGCGGAAGGAATTATCTTTGAATTCAGGATTTCTGTGATAAATTATCACAGTAAAGCGGTATCGAGGAATACGTATCTCTGAATTCAGGATTTCTGTGATAAATTATCACGGCAAGCGGTACCGAGGAATACGTATCTTTGAATTCTGGATTTCTGTGATAAATTATCACAGTAACGCGGTATCGAGGAACAGGTATCTCTGAATGCCGGATTTCTGTGATAAATTATCACGGTAACGAGGTATCGAGGAAGGGATAATCTTTGAATTCTGAATTTCTGTGATAAGTTATCGCGGTAACGCAGTATCGAGGAAGGAATTATCTCTGAATTCAGGATTTCTGTGATAAATTAAACTTTTATTTCAAAGCTCTTATTTTTATTTAAGCTCCACAAGCAATCCCAGGCCCGAGCCGTCCACATGCTACCTAGAAATTGAGGCAACAGAAACTATAAAGTACGTACGGAGATCTGACCAAAAAAACCGCGCTCGAGACTGCCTTGCTTTTGCAGTCGTTTTTCGCACATTTTCCCAGAGTTGGTTATGGACCGAGTTGGTTATGGACCGAGTTGGTTATGGACCGAGTCGGTCACGGACCGAGTCGGCTCGGACCGAGATGGTCACGGACTGAGTTGACCGGTACCCTCTAGGCTAGGCTAGTAGTAGCAAGTGCGCAGACGTCAGAAAATACACTTTGCACCCGGACCGGGATGCAATTTTTTTTTTTGGCACAACTTCGCGACCAGGATCTACTTATTTCGTTGTCAACTGGAGCTGTAAAACACAACCATAGAGCTAATTCAACATTTCAATGTCAGACAACTTGACCGTTGAGACAACTCGACTCCTGAGGACGACAGCTCGACCTTTGAGACAACTAGACTCTAAGACAACACGATCACCGACCGCGGCCGGGACAATTCGACCGACGACTGTTGTGTTTTTATTCCTCCCCGAGACAAGTCGACTTTGTGGAAAAGCAACACGTACCGTACCTTATGTATGATGATTATGTAGTCATGGTAGTTAAATGAAGACATTTTACAAGTGAACTTTGACGTATATGATATTGACATGGACACATGATGGAGTTTTCTCAACGGTCGAGCTGTCCTGAGTTTAGTTGTCTCAATGGTCGAGTTGTCTGACCCTCTTAGTCTTACTACATGCAGGCCTATAGTTACTGCAATATATATTGGGTCGACGTTGCAGAGGACAGATGGTTGATAAATATTGGGTGCGTTCGAGTAGCTCACGATAACCCGAATTGACTCGGGTAAAGAAGACAGACAGCAGGTTAGCCACTACAACCGGGCTAATCGAACACTCAACTGCGGGCCATCACGATCCTCACGTGATGTCCCTAGCCGCAGCCATAGCCACTGACAAAATGCCCGTTTCTGATTGGGTCTTAGTTTTAGATTTTACTGCTTTGCAGTCAATTGCAACTTTAACTCAAAACGTTGGGCTGGAATTTAGCCTAGCCCTAACAGTTCTGAATCCTCCAATTTCAATACGATTTTGCATACCCCCAGGGAGTTAGGGTTAGTTGCAATGAATTCAATAAATAATTACCTAGTCCGGCTGCCATATTTGTCCATTTCCAGAAATGAACAATGCATGCGATGCGACGTATTTCCACCACTGATTCTACGAGCAGGGTCTGTAGACTGTACCCGGGTGAGCCCCGAGAATGACGTCAGAGCTAATCGAACAGCAACGGAGTAAGCTGAGTCAATCGAGCTACTCGAACGCACCCATAAAATATCGTATTAAGATATATAGGGAAAGATCGGACACTCTTCTTTTTGTACAGCGCCCAATGAAACACTACATGTAGTTGGTGGTGGTGGTGTGATACAATGGCACGTTCGGCAGCCTAGTGCCCTTTGTGCCACAAGCAATAACACTGCTGCATTACAGATCCGTCAGTAGGCTATTCAGCAAAAATATATGTTGTTGATTGGTATGCCCTAACCATGGCAATGAATCCAACATGGCCAATTATAGTTTGGCCGCGGTCCCTAGTAGTTGGGAAATCGGTTGTTGGGAAATCCCAACTATAGTTAAAACAAAGGTTGCGAGTCCCAATTAAATCAACTCAGTCTACAACTCGGTCCCAAGTTAACTCGGTCCAAGGTCAACTCTGTCCCAAGTCAACTCAGTCCCTAGTCAACTTGGTCTGGCCTTCTTGTTTCAGGGTTTGCGTCTCTGTTGAGATGTCTTGGGGAACGGTGTGGTCAGGCCTGTCACCAAGGGGGAAGGGGGCCTGGTGGCACCCCCCCCCCCCCAAGGCAAAAGCCATACATATGTATTTTTGTATGGTAGTGGGCCCCCCTAGTTGGTACTATGGCCTCCCTTGATGCTCAGGGCTGGTGACGGGCCTGGGTGTGGTGCTTATAATGGATCTTGATGGCCTCTCTCATTTGTCGTGGGTGCCAATTCTTGACAGGTGCAATGATTTTTGCTGCCTCCCAATTGTTGAGGTGGTCTGTGGCATGGGCATGGTTGACGATGGCTGACTTATCATATTCTCTTTGCAGTCCGTGCGCCCAGTACTCCTTCAGTCTGGTAGGGAGGTTTTTGCCAGTCTCCCCTTAACCGCACTCACAGGGGATACGTAGACTCTTGGGCAGTTGCTGAGATCAGGCTTGTCTTTGTGTGTGTGGAGAATGCCTTGAAGCTTGTTGGGGGCAGAGTAAAAAAAACTTTCATGTGGGCTTCACAAGATGCGCTGGAGCTGATGGGAGGCTAGCCTTTAGTCAAGACCCGCATGGCTATACGCGGATATGTGGCGCCCCGGATGATGGCACAAAAAAAGACCATCTTGTGGAAAACGCTTATGTTGTTCTTTACATTTATCTACCGATTTGGTAGAGAAATTGATGCATTACATGTTGTGAATGCGTGTGCGTCTTGTTTTTAAGAACACGTTCACTGCGCGATCGAGGGTATGCGCGAGCATGGCATCACCTCAAAAAATGGCTTGTTCGTGATGATTGGTACATTTATATCCGCATACATGTATGGTTTATATTACATGTACTTGAAAAAATGAATAAATGATAAGCTCCACGAGATGGTAAAGGTGCTTGTGGCTTCGCCACTCGTACTGGTCTTTTTTCGTGCCAGAATCTTGGGTGCCACGCGTCTGGCTAGACACACACGCCTTGACTAAAGGCTAATGGGAGGCAGGGCCTAAGTTGGGAAGACATTCTGAGGGTTGTGGGGTTTGACTTTGGGTAAAGGAAACCCTGCACTTGAGATGAAGAGTCTTGATTTGCTGGAGTTCTTGTTGGATGTTGTCTTGGTCTCATATCTCATATGCCCAACATACTATAGGGTGCAGTTTTTATTGATGATTTTATGCAGGGGTGATGGAAAGATCGTTGGTGAAGGTAGCGGTCAGTGTGAGTAGGTTTACAGTAGACACGGTGGTGAAGGGAGCCGTTCGTGTTCCTTGAGGGGTTGCCATCAAGGAAGGAGAGCTGGCCGGCTTTCTTGTTCCATGCTGAACTTGATGGTGGGATGTTGTCCGTTGACATAGTGGAGGGACTCGGTGAGGATGTCCTGTCCGTTGGGTCAGACAAGGAAGGTGTCATCAACGTAGGATAGCCAGAGGCTGGGGCGAATGTCTGCGGTGAGGAGGGATATGAAGACTCAAACTCTTCTATAAAGATGTTTTCTAGGATATAGGGGATCCCGTGCTGTCACTCTGTTCGAAGAACTTGCCTTGAAATTAAAAGTAGCTGAAAGAAAAACATGTGTAAAGCAGGTCATGGATTTGGACAGGAGACAGGGTGCTGCGGTCACTGAGTCTCTCTGAGTGCTGCGGTCATCTAGTCTCTCTTTCACCAGATGGCAGGCTTCATCAGTGGGGTCGTTGGTGAACAAGGAAACAATGTCAAAGCTGACCGTGAAGTCTGTCAGGCGGATGGTGAGGCTTCTGGTGATGTCCACAAACAGGCTAGAGGTGGAGTTGTCACAAGGTGTGAGTCCCACCAGAGGGCAGAGGAACCTGGTCAGGAATTGGGCTGCCTCGTAGGTGGGTGACCCTCTAGACGACACTATGGGGAGGAGCGGGATGCCAGGCTTGTAAATCTTCAGTTGATTGAAGAATCTGGGGCAAGATCAGCAAGACGGACGTAACCTAAAGTAGAGAGGGGCAGAGGGCTCCTGCACGATGGAGGGTAAGGAGTTTGCTGGCAACGCTCTTCTCAAAAAAGCTGTTAGTGTTCCCAAACTTGGCGCACTTGGAACAAATCTGGGAATATCCCAAGTCAACATTTAAGATTTTTTTTATAAAGTTGACAAATTCTATTATCTCCACTGCAAGTTTGTCAAACAATTATTTATTTATTTTTGGGCGCATATTAAAAGTGTTCATTGTGCATCTAAAAATAAAATTGGAAAATCATGTCAAAAGATATCTATTAACTTTGTAACGGGTACATGTAGGTAAACTCAAGATTTATGAACAGGTATATTTAGAGCTTACTGAAATTTCACATACTGTCAAATTGAGAATTTTTTTTGCTCTAGGTAGAAGCCAAAAATCAAAGTGTGCCATGTTAGGGGATATTGAACAATACAAGAGAAAATACCTTAAAATTATCCGCCCTTTGTTGATCTGGGACCGAGTTGACTGGGACCAAGTTGACTTGGGACTGATTTGGCTTGGGATCGAGTTGACTTGGACCGATTTGGTTTGGGACCGAGTTGACCTGCACCCCGGATGAAATGCAGCAGGAGGGAACAGATGGAGCATGACCTCACCTGCATGTTTATTGGGCATGTTGGGAAGGGGCATAATGCGGCGATGTGACAAGTTAAGTGCTATCGTAGGATGGAGTAATGGGCCCGCAACCACAGACATGTTTTTTTTTGACGGAAGTGTTCTCTTAAATGAAAAAAAGAAATGGGGGAAAAACAAAGCACACAGATTCCAGCTCTAGGGGAAATAATTCATCTCTCAATACTCTACTTTATTTTAATGTATTTTTTGCTATACCATGCACTTTATTGCTAAAAAAATAGCACCTTTTACTACTTTGATGCTGTACCCAGGTTACTCTTCAAGGTTTAGTAATAAACACGAACAATTGTTTGCATTAACAAATGACGTATACTAAATGATTTTCTTGACGCAGATATTCTTCATTTGGCATTCAACAAGTTGTTGAAATGGTAGTCTTCAGTACCTCTAGCCTGGTGATGTTCGGCATCACAGCAGTCACATTGGCTGTCACCTCAACAGTTGTAGCTGTTGTCGGGTTACTCCTACATAAATGGCAAATGGAGAAGCAGTTGAAGGCCTTCCCTGTCGCTCCAGACAAACATTGGCTCTTGGGTCATTTACACAAGGTACGGACACGACTCAGCATCATTGCTGGTATCTCACGTATCAGTGAACAAGCAATTTTTTTTGCATTTTCACCAGTTAACCTACAGGGGCATTTGTGATTGACACCAGACTTTGTGCAGAGAGACTGCAAGACATAATCGGGCCAAATTTTAAAATGTTCATGTTGCCAAATGTGAGGCACTAGACCATTACCTGAAACAGTTCTGCTAAAGCAACTGGGAGCTCTGCATGGAGGGGGCACCTTATGCACCATTCACCACAAAGGAGGTACAGAAAGCCATCAACTCGAGCAAGGGTGGCGCACCTGGTCCTGACAAAATCTAGGCATTCACCCTTAAGTCACTACCATGACTAGACCATTGCCCAGTAGGTTGGGACATTGTACTGAAAGAGCTGGAGGACTGGTGTCATTCCACCATGTCCACCGGTCCGGACAGACGCCTTCCTTGGACCTGTACCCAAACCTGGTAAGAACCATACACTCAAAGGATACCGCATCGTTGTAATGCAGAACATCAGCGGCAAGAATCCAGAGGAGATCATTGCACAACAGATAACCAAGTAAATCGATCACTGGCTTCCCAACAGGATGGGCGCCTATCGTCCTGTCCGGGAAACCCGGACCAATTCTGTTTCAGTGGCAGCAGATATCTGGGAGGGCTTCAAAAGCTTTCAAAACACACTGCTGGTTGCATTGGATCTTGAGGACGCATACAACTTGGTCTAACGCCCAATCTGATGGAATGGTGCACCTCGGAATGTTCGCCACTTTTGTATGTTGGGTTATGGCTGCCCTGAGCAAGAGACGCTGCATGATGAAGTACCGCACCTGGCGGTCTGACTGGGTTGAAATCAATACAGGCCTTCCGCAGGGATCCCATTTTTACCAGTCCTCTTCAACATCTATACCCTACCCCTTTCCAGATTGAACCGTGCAGAGTGCAGACTTCGGACCATTACGAGATGATATCTTGAAATCTCAGAGTATTTTCGACCGCCAGCTTCACTTAGCTTGTCAGCAAGATTTTGAGCCAATGTAATGCAACAAGGGGAGAGCTGCATCTGGTAGAAAAGCTGAAGAATGACATCTGGTTATGCTCTACAAAAGCCTCGTCCAATCAGTCATTGACTGCCTTTCCAATAGTCCACATCAGTCAGAACCAGATGACTAGGTTAGAGAGACTACAGAACATTGCCCTTCGAATCATCACTGGTTGCAGCAGATCAACCCTATTTCAGCGTTGCGCCATCTGGTGGGTTTCCCAAGCATTGCTGGACATCAGACTCTAGAGCAAGTGACCATTGTGTCCAAGGTTCTTCAGGACAGCAAGCATGCCCTCGATGGCGTAGTCAAGAAGGAATTCGTCAATACCACTGTGCAAGCCACTTTGCGCCGTGAACTCAGACCATGGGCCCCAGAGCAGAATCCTGCCAACGTCTAATCAGGAACTCATGGGTCACTGCAGCTGTTGCGGCCACCATGACTTCTTAGGTCAGCACTTCATTACCCAATCACCAGCCTGGGTGTCACAGGAAGAGCATGGTGAGAAACCACAGGTTATTGTCAAGTTCAACAGGAAGTGCAGAGACTGGCCTGAGGGGGCTGCACAAGCCCCATGCTGCAACCTTACGGGAGCTGGGTGGCGATGAAGCTGTGGTTGTAGCCACAGATGGATCCTTTGATCGGACAGCAATCATGCTGGATGGGGATACTTTATAGTTCGTTTCAATGGCTCAACAGTTGCTGAGGGCTCTGGCTGCCATACCATCTACAAAAGCAGCACATGAATGAAGTTTGAAGCCATCCAACAGGCCATGCTACGGCTCACACAATTGGAATGGACCGATCCAGTAAGCTCCGCCCAGTGCGCACGTGGGCAAATTAACACGTGCTCCTCTCCAATGCCACGCTGCATTTTCCTTCCGCGCGCATCATACGTGCGTGCACGCATGTTGGACTTTAGTGCACACACGTCGGACATAAATCACGGCTGTGATTGGTCAGAACACCATGGGGCGGTGCTTACTGGATCGGTCCATTGTGTCCAAAGACTGTCATTATCGCTACTGATTCCATGGCCGTACAGAGTCAGTTCTGGCTACCTGCCCTTGAACTGGCTGACCTTTCGAGAACACCACCCACTCACCCATGTATTCTGGACCTTCATGCTGGAGTCATCGTCATTGAGCGAGCTGACTGTCTTGCAGCTTCCGCTGCAGTGCCCTCCCCACTCCCACTCTACCTGATGGATGTCAAGTTGCTGGGCAACACAGCACGATGCTAGCAACCAAGTAGCTTTTGGAAATTCACAGAGAATTAAGGCCTCCACCTTCTAGAGCTTGACATCCCCTTTGGCCATACTTCCACCAGACGCCGGAAGGGCCTCTCCCGCCGAGTCTGTAATCAGCATTTACCTAGTAACTGGTTACCTCAGTCCAGCTTCCATCTGTATCCTGCTGGAAGGATGGTCGTTCAGAGAGAAGATATGTATTTAACATCTGAAACAGTTATGGCTGGTCCTGTGGGGGACAATCGCGGCTTAGTGATATTCGTATTGGACCTTCCTCCAAAACAACACATCAAGACGTATTGACAAACTTTAGTTGCCTTGTACGTCGGTATAAGTAGGCCCTGGGTACGTACATGAGCATGAAATTTTGACATTTTTACGATACCGTTTTCATGTAAAAGTTTAACAATGTTGCTCACAAAATCATATGGCTATGCACTCTGCCAGGTAACTTAGCGTATCACGAAAGCGTCAAACGATTTGGTTAATTTCGTCTTATTTTCATCCCTGTTTCTTGGTAAAAGTATGCCTGAAAACAATGGTAAGAAAAAAGGTTACTTTGATATTTACAACTCCTCTAAAGTTGCTTCTTTGAGGGTGTCATCTTGGGTTGTTGTTTAATGCAATCTCACACTCCATTCTAGTTGGCCCCAGAACATGGATTCGTGAACAAAACATCCTCAGAATGTTGTCGATGTTTCTAATTTGTGGATTAATTTTGAAAAGTTTGCACATTTCTAACCAAAAAGATGAATGGGAATAATAGTTTGGGAGAGCAATTTTAAAAGACGGGGCCTGGTTGCCGATAATGACCCGAGCCGATACATACAATGTACATGTGCATATGAGTACTTTACTAGATCATTCTGTTTTCATGGAAGTAAATGTGTTTATTGATTTACAATTTCAACCTTTTCCTTTCAGATGACATCGGATGAGAAAGCATACGCATGGTTCAGAAAGTGTGTGGATGCAGGTGTTTATGTCTCCATCATTTGGGTGGGGCCTTTCTTGCCATTTGTCACAGTGTTTCACCCAGACACTGTCAAGACAATTCTCAAAACTTCAGGTAATGTTACTTTGAGCTATTTCGCTGCATAATTTATACTGTTGTACTAATGTTTCACAATGGTATACAAATAATGAATGTTTGTGAGTGCAATGGTGAGAATATTTTCATGAGTTGAAAGATTGAATGTTAATTCCATTCAACGAGGCGAAGCCGACTTGAATGGAACATTCCATCTTTCAGCAAATGCAAGAAGTTTCATTATTTGTTTTATATAACATCCAAGTAGATCTTTGTCATTTGATTGGAGGATAACACTTTAAGAACAAACAAAAGTCACAAAATTGTATCATATCCACTACTTTTTTCCAGCTTGTTCAAGGCTAACAAAGGTTTAAAAGTCAAATCATTGACAATAATGAAAACTAACATAGTAAGTTCTTAAAATAATTTAAAAAAAATTATCAAGGCAACTGTAATCACTTCAGATTTTGCATACCAGTATCATAACCTACCGACCCACCAAGTTTCATAACGATCGGATATTCCCTAATATGCATTTCAAAAGTCACATTTTTTATGACGTATGATATCACACATTTTTCGAAATCATGTGCATTGTATCGGTATATCTATTACCTAAAGCCCCAGTCACACATTTACGGTTTGGAGCTACGAATATCCACGGTTTACCAAGAATCAATTGATCACAATGAACCGTCGAGATTCGTGGAGAAATTGACCTTCTAAGAATGCAGGACGGATAGCCATGACTGTCCTAAGGTTTCTCTATGAATACACCATGGTTTGTCAAAAATATGGAATGATTTTTGAGAAGAATATTGACAGTATTACTAAGAATAATGATGTTAACACAACGGTTGTCTGTGATTGGGCCATGGATGACCAAGGTTCTCCTACGAACAGAGCGTGGATATTCGTGCTACAACCACAGCAGAACCCTAGTACATCCGGGCATATCCCTATTAGGGCACGAATTTCATGCAAATTTCACTGAAACACACGCTCATTTTTAGGACATTCGTAGCAAATTCGTAGAGATTTCTACCACGAGTGAGCTTCGAATGTCCAAGAATACGAATAGTACGAATAGCCACGATTAACACTATGAATCAGTACGGTTGTCCGATGGATGTCCCTCGGTTGCACCACAGATTGATTATCATGACGTTTTGAACAGTTGAAAACTTCTGTAGCCCCTCCATGAATACCCGAGGAAGATGATGGATAACCACGGATGTACTAAGGATGAATACAGTACTCCCACGGTTTATCACGAATTTCAAACCGTGGAGATCCGTAGCTCTAAACCGTAAATGTGTGACTGAGGCTTTACAAAGCTTGTACAAAAAGAATTTTGATTTTACCACATTCCGTTCATGAGATATGACTTAAAGGTCCAAAAATTGAGTAATTCATATAAAATCACATGATGAGGTCATCATAGCATCACCTCTATTTTTTTACCTATAAGACATACCGGACTAGGTACATACCAATTTTCAACCCAATCCGACCTGTCGTTCTGGAGATTTAGACCTTCAAAATATACATGTTTATTGTGATATGTCACGTGACACGTGATGATGTCATGATGACATCAATGTTTGGCATACATGCATGTGCTAGTCTAATTGTGTGCCAAGTATAAAGGCAATCGGATTGATTTTTGTGCCCAAAGTGCCATGCACGATAAAAAGTGTAAAAATGCTATGGGAAATGGCTATAAAAAGGAAAAAAGGGAAAGGAAATCTTAATAAATACAAAGGCTGTTTCGGAAAAAAGAAATCCCCCCCCCCAAAAAAACCCTTTAACGAAAACAAAGGCTGTTTATTTTGCCGAAACAGCTAAAAAAAAAAACCTTAAGAAAGGTGACGTCAAGTGGGGAAGGTCTAGCCCCTAAAATATTGGATTGGATCAAGAACCGCGCTGGAACAGTTATCAGAGAAGTTGTGCACAATATACACGTACAATTGTAGCAGAAACTGCTATAGTAAGCATCTTAAGCACCATTTCATGGCGTGGATGTGGATAGATGTACATGGGCATTTTGTTTGTTACATTACAAATGTATGTCACAAGTTAGAGCAAATGTTCGTCTTGAGGTAAGTGTGCCTTTTGCTGTGCTTACTATTAACAGTCTCAATGAAATATGGGAAGGCTCTGTTATCAGAAGGAAATGCAATCAGATTATTGGCAGATTTTGTCCTGCAACTTCTTTAGTCCTGCAAACTGACTCCTCAAGAATGCTCCTTTGGAATTGATTTATCTCAATGAACACAACGGGTGTTGGCCTAATCCTCACTGTGTGGTATTGGTATATATCTAGAGCCCAAGTCAGAGAACACGTATCGTTTTGTGAGGCCGTGGATCGGTGATGGGCTGCTGCTGTCTAGTGGGAAGAAGTGGGCACGGAACAGACGATTGCTGACTCCTGGCTTTCATTTTGACATCCTCAAGCCATATGTTGGCATCTTTCAAGAGTCTGCAAGTATCCTTGTTGTAAGTACATCATTTATAACTATACCCTATATTTCATGGAACCTCTGTGCTGAAGCTGTAAAAAAAAAATCAAAATTCTTTTAGCTTTATGGACTCTATGCATGAACAGAAGATGAGGCTTGATGACCTCTCGTGTTTGACGTCCCACTCTGTGTGCGGGACACATTGCATGAGCAAACTGGCGTGGAGTATGCAAGTCTAATGGGAGACTTTTGAGACACTTGGTGGCAGACTTGCATTACTCGTGACTCAGACTCGAGTCCGACTTGAGTTCCATTTTTCCAGGCCTCGAGCTCGAACTCGAGTCACGATAACAAATGACTCGGACTCAGACTTGACCCTGCGGATCGATTCAGACTTGGACTCGAACTTTTGTGACTCGGGCCACTACAAACATTACCACAAATCACTTATTTATTTCAACAATATAATTACTAATCATTTTAAAGACGATCCTCTCCTGAGCAAGCCATACTGTTTATGCAGTGCAGAAGAAATGCAGCTAAGTACATGTACTGTGAATGCACAGCACGTGCGTCTGGCTTGTTTCCGACATATTGATTGGGATATCAAATGTATTGAAGCATGTTCTCAAGCGTCCACACTTGATATTGCGTAAATGCAGGCTTGATAGTGTGGTGAAGTTTCTAGGCATACTAGTTACCACGCCAATTCCAACTAACATTAGCCCAATTTCCAGACAATGCCTTGAGTGAGTGTTACCATACCCAGTAACACGTAGGCCTAATTGCTGAAGTAAGGATACGCGATGTTACGCAAATGTACGTCATGCGCCTGGGTCCGTGCGTGTTCATGCGCCTTCGATGAGCGTTTGATTATCCTGAATGACTCGTGACCCATATCATTGTGCACATGCGCAGTTGAAATACTGAACTGTCTTAAAACTACTACTAGTTGACGCTACTGGCGTCATACTCGACTACAGACGTTGTGACTAATTGTTTTATCTAATGCTTGCAATTCGTCTCAGCCATCCAGCCCGATCCTGGGCAGCACGAACAGCATGATCGTATTTGAGGCCGATAGGCTAACCACCCATATGTTAGGCTCTCAACCAATAGGAATAGATAAACTGTCTCAGGTATTTAAGAATATGAAATCCATACACCTGTAGATAGTTAGTAAAATACAACCCTTTTTTTCTGTCCCTGGTGTATGCACAGAAAAAGTGGCAAGGTGCTTGTGAAAGAGAAGGGAAGCAGTCTATGGAAATGTTCAGTCATGTCAGCCTCCTGATGCTGGATAGTCTGCTCAAATGCATCTTCAGTGTCCAGAGCAACTGCCAAATGTAAGACCATTATTTGATGACCTGTTACACACATTTCACTTACACATTAATTACAAATACATGTATAAAATGTGACTGTATGCTTTTCGTCCAAAGGTCTGTGAACTTACAAGAACCAAAATCACCGTGCTCTTTGTGCTTCAGCATGTAAATCGTGTATGCTACTTCTTTGGTTCTTTATTGAGATATGTATTTATATAATTATTTATTACATTTCTTTACCCAGCAAATGCCCAAAAAGTTTAAAACTGGTTTCCATTGGTTACAGATTACTACATTCACATACACATATGCCCTCGTTAGGTTCCTGATTCTAGTGAGTTGGGACTTATTCCACTCCCATGGAATACCAACAGGAATGAAGTCATCAATTATATACATGTGTTGCTTGAAAACCAATAATTGTAAAAAAAAAATTTAAAAAAAAAGGCATATGTTTGAGCTATTGTCAGGCCATCAATTACAAACATATCTGATGGGACAGTTTGCTTGTTTAAACAGGAAAGAGTATTTATTGAAAAGTTTCTAAATGTCTTTACTCTCCCATTCCTATTTATACCAGAAGGTAAACATAAGAATACGTTACCTCTTTGTTAGGTCATTACCTGCTTGTTTCACCAAGGGACCATGATGCAACATTTGTGTGGTTTCCATGTTGTTCATAATAATCATACATGTACATGACGTCCTCTTCTCTAAATTCTTATTGGACGCTGTTCATTTCCTATGTGAGAATTTTCATTCAAACACGCATATCCCTATTTCAGTGTTGAGGATCACCCGTACATCAAAGGCATCTATGAAATTGCCATGTTGGTTGGAGCGCGTTTCCGCTTTCTTCCTTTCCACTCCGATATCATATACAACTTGAGTCCTAGTGGCCGGCGCTACCATCGAGCCATTGAGACTGTTCATAATTATGCACGTGATATCATCAAGCAGCGTAAGCAAGCTCTAGCTGAGGAAGAAGCCAGTGGTAAAACAAGACACAGGAAGTATGTGGACTTCTTAGATATCCTTCTGTGTGCTAAGGTAAGATTCTGGATGAGTAGGGAAGCAGAATTTCCTCAAAATTTATTCTGAGATGCAGATAGTTTTTACATGTCCATTTTTTGGCAGGGAGCCATTTTAGTCCACCTCTTGTTACAGATATTTTCGGTGAGCGGTATTGGGTTCTGATCTGGGTGTGATCCAGCTCATTTTTATTTCAATTTTGAACAGTATCTTTTGGTAGAAAATGCAGTTTTCTTACATATTTTCAATGGAAGACTAGCCTACCCTGAACGAGCGACCGCTACAGTATAGCTTAAGTTTGTCCTTTACCTGTTGTACTGCACTTGCCAATTGCCATGACACACAGCGCCGCGCATACTAGCCTCAACGATCCCCCTGCTTGCCTGCACATACGTCCCACACACATATCTGTATAAACAGTACATACAGTAACCATTCCCCAGTCCAGGCGAAAGACAGCCTTGATGCAACCGTGGCGAATTCCTTATATGTTTCTTTACATTTTCCGCCCAATTCGGCCCAGAAATTCTTATGCGCATATTTAACACGATATCTAATCAAAGCCCGTAAACTTTGACCTGAATACGCGTTGCAAGCAATGTAGGTGTATATATGTACGTACATCATGTATTGTACTGAACAAAATGAAGGTTTCCCGGGCTCTCGTTCAGCCAGAAGTGAATGGAAGTCTAAATACTGCAGCCGATAAGTTACAGATTGAAGATTTTCGTCCTGAGCAACGGACTGCCCTTCAGTACTTTCTTCAAGGACTCCATGGTTTTGTAAATTTGCTAATTAACTTGTCTCAAATCACTGCGAGAATACTACTCAACGTGACTAGAGTCACTGCTTTAACATGACGTATCTCCACTTAAGTTTCAAATTCAATGACTTGTCATAACACTGAATAAGGGTGTGACATGAGGGCCTTCCGGTGTTTTTTTAATTAAATGATACAATTACACCCCTTTTAATTTCAATGGGAACTAAGTATTGCCCTGAAATGTTCCCATCTTATATAGGACACAGATGGCAAGGGATTGACGGACCAAGAGATTTGCGATGAAGTGGACACATTCATGTTTGAGGGGCACGACACAACAGCATCGGGCATATCCTGGTTCCTATACAACATGGCAAGGTTTCCTGAATTTCAGCAGAAGTGTAGGCAGGAGATAGATAACCTTCTGGCAGATAGGACAGAGGATACGCTGGAATGGTCGGTTTTCACTGACAATGCTGTTTCAATTTGCTTTATTACCAGACTATTGCTTGTTTATTGTCTGTATCCTGATGGAGCATTATGACACCAAGGTCCCAGTTCAAATCAATAGACAAATAGACAAATCCTAATGAGCACTGAAACCAAGTCTCTCAGTGCTAATCATTGTATGCATTGAGCAGATTTCTTTTAATCCTGTCGACAAAAGATGGCACGTGGGTGTTGCCTTCAGTGCCAATTTGAAATTCCATTGCATGCATTAATTTTATTATATGTAGCAACTTTTGAAGTTTGTAGTCAATTTACTTTAGATGTCATCCTGTGAATAATTGCTTCTCTATTATACCACTCAAAGAGAAATGAATTCAGAAACTTCACAAATGATAAAAATCCAGTTAAATTGTGCACATCCTTTAAAAAAGTAAAAAGTGTTGAGTTTTTGTTGCCCGTTTGCAAAAGACACAATTAGTACCGTTTTTTTTTCAATATCTATAAAACGGATGTGGGTTTTTCCTGTAATATATTGTTGGTTAATTTAAATTTGAATAACATTTTTTGTTTACGGTCATGTATTACTCATGTTATGACAAATGCACTTGTTATTTGGTTATCATTTGCAGGGAGGATCTCAACAATCTACCCTACATGACCCAGTGTTTGAAGGAGAATCTGCGCTTTCATGCTCCTGTCGTCAATATCATGCGAACTTTGACCCAACCTCTGGCCTTCCCTGATGGTAGAAGTGTACCCAAAGGTGTGTAGCTGGTGTGACTTTGTAGTTTCTGTGAACTTACAGAACATGTGCATGCATGTAACATCGAAAGATACAAAGTCTGACTTGGTCGATCTGTCACTGGAACCCCCCCCCAGCACATTTGTTTATCAATGCATATTCAACATCATTACTATTCATAATATGTTGCAACAGGGCAATTCCATCATTACATAGACATTACATTCACAGACTACTGACCAATTTGAAACAACAAAATACAATACTTGCAGTGAAAGTAAATTGCATATGTGGTACATGGCATGACATGGTTAATGCACAGTGTATGTTAGCTGAATTAATTCATGAGATATAAGCACTGTAAATGACCGTACGTACTCTGACATAGATTTTGATCGATTTTCAATACACATTGATAGAAGTTTGGGAAGTTTCTTGCGAGAATTTAATGAAATTACTATGTTGTGGTAGGTATAGCTTCACTCCATAAAAACACCAATGGTATTTCACAAATAGCTACTTTGATGTTGAAACATTTATTTTTGTTATGAAGGTTACATTATAGTGTTACGGACGTTACATGTCTGAAAGCAACTTCATAGAAATGATTAAAAAAAACCTGAATTATGGTTATCTCAGTTCTGTCTGTTATTTCTATAGACATTGAACCTTTACCTCTGCCTTTAAACAAAAACACAATGACCCTTACATTTTGCATGTAAAAACCAGGTGCCAAAATGACTACCTCAGTTGTGATGGAAGAGTGGAACACATAAAAGTTGTACTAATTTGAAACAAACATTTTTTTAATAACAATTTTAATAAAACTTGTGTCCAATTGAAATTGTGATTTAAGATAAATAATATACTAACCAAAGGGGGTTTCAGATATTATTAAGGTAAGCTGATGTCCATTATTTGCGCCATGCGTTGCGTATACGCACAGCAGTTTGAAAACATGCGAAAGTAGGTGTACCGTATATTATAGTAGATTAGCTCATAGACTGTGTATGGATGTCTAGCAGAATGACTAAGTCTGAGTTGCTGAACTCACATGCAAATATTAAACATGTGCATGAACATTTATAACATGATGGCCTGGAACTGACACGCAAGGGTGGGCATTATACTCAGCTCATCTTGATAGTACAGTGCAAGTGTATGTAGGCATTTACTGCACAACCAAGGGAAACCCAGATTTTGGCCAAGTCTATCATGTATGACAAGTTAATGTTCATAGATATCCTTTAGTGACACAAATTTTTTTCAGTGTTCCATTCTGCTTTCTTAAATATCTTTTGTAATAAGGCAATTCTGTGACTTTTTATCCTAATATTTAAATTGCATATAACACCACGCATCAAATGGTAACTTTTCAGAAAGCTGTATATTTGTATGATTGGATTTGAAAGCTTTTTCAATTTTTCACGTTAAGTAATAATTTTAAGGTTGGAGCATGGAGATGCTGGCAAGCTGTGGCTTTTGGGATATTTCAGTTCTAGCCAAAGGGCAAAACGACTAACTTTCTGAATTTTGGTTTAATAACAGGCACATCTGTTGCTATTACCATCAATGGCTTGCATCACAATAAAGAGGTATGGGATGACCCCGAGACTTTTGATCCTGATCGGTTTTCCCCTGAGAGGGCCAAGTCTATTCCTCCATATGCATTCGTGCCATTCTCAGCAGGTCCAAGGTAAGAATTCAGCTGGTACATGTAAAATAAGCATTCAATTCACAATTTTGACATAGACTGACTTAAAAAAAAATCACATTTTTATTGCAAAGGGTTTTTTCCAAATATGTGGGCATTTTTAGCACACCACTTTGTCTGAATATTTTTACCAATAACCAAAAGCCTAAATACTTGGACCCATTCTGCCCAACTTCTCAGACATAATTGCTATGTATCAGTATAGTTGTAGGGCTCAGAGAGGGGGGACTCGCCTACACCACTGTGCATTGCACCAATGCTTCTTCATTTGATCAGTTTGGATGCAGTCAGTGTTTGCATACAGCATGCATGTTACAGTGCAGTCGGACTCTATAGTTATCCCAGACATGGACTCTATACCTAGTTCAGTGTCGATGAGGGGAGTACTTGTGTCTGGACTTGTGATAGTAGAAGTGACCATGTCAATTCCTCATTAGATTTGCTTATGGACATTTCATAAAGTCTGGTTTGAATAATCAATTTGCCATCTGCTTCCTACCCTCAGGAATTGTATCGGCCAGCACTTTGCAATGAGTGAAATGAAGGTGATTGCAAGCATGATCCTTCGTAACTTCTACTTGTCTGTCAATGAGTCTGTACCAATCCAGCGCAGGAATGCCCTTGTACTCAGGTCACAACATGGCATCAACTTGTATGTCACACCACGAAAAACAGTCAAGCATTAGCCCAAGTCTCAATGAGAGTGGTGGTCCATTAGGACAGACTTACTGCAGGATAAGATTGACCTCTAGCATCCAATAAGATTAGGACATCTAGTAGCATGTTTGTACATCAATTTGCACAGGGACTGTTCTTCACATATGCATTTACAATTACAATGCTCAAGGAACGCTACATCTTCTAGCAGCCCCGTAGCCAAGGGAACAAAATGCCCCCCCCCCCCCACCCCCTCCATCAGGCTGCCTATGGGCCTGTCCAGTGTGCATTTAGTGTAAGGTTATGTGCAGTATGCAGTCGTATATGTATAGCCCAATTCTCTTAAATGTTGACTTGTTTAAACCATACACATAATTGATGTGTTAAGATGTCCACAGGTCACAGGCGTGCAGCTTTTCATCAAATAAGCTGATTTCACCTCTACTTTCACTTCACACTTATGCCATTAAAAATTGAAAAATAATGTGTACAGTCTTTTAATTTCCTCTTATAACTTCCGTTTTTGTTACTTCCCAGTTGCAATTGTACAATGGACATTTATAAGTTCCGTACATTGGTCTCGGCACATGATGTACTGCACGGACAATAAAATTACTCCATATTTCTTCAAACATAGACCCAGATCAACATTCTCACTCCAAACTATTTCAGACATCTGAATTCTCATGTGCACGAATTGAACAAGTCTGAAATAACAATCTGAACGTATAGTTATATGGAGTCCTTGCACTCATTGCATGTGGTTGGACGGCATCAAATGCTTCAAGAGACATTTATTCTGCGGATACATAATGACTTCCAAAAGACAAACCAGTAGGAGTATTCATCCTCATTTCCTTAGCCGTCAATTTATAGTGCTTAATTAACATTTAACTATCTAGTATTCAAGTACATGTATCTTCTTTGCAAAGACTCCATTCATGTTGAGAATTTTTTATATTCTTATAGAAATCTTTTGGAAATACTATCATTGAAATTTCTTGTATATTTTTCTGACATACATTGTGTTACTGCATCAAATGCATTTTATTGCTATTTTTTGTTCTGTATGTGCATTATACATAATTGCTTTTCTCTTTCTCTCTTTTTTACATTGTCTTTATGTCACTTAATAATTATAATAATTATGGCTGGAAAATACTCCTTAAAATACTTGTCTTTAGTTTATGCACGGAGGTAACTTTTCTACACAATATGTAATACTCATTTAAGAATGGCCTTTGTATTTTGACTTTGCACATTTGAAAATGTTTGAATCATTCGTAGAGTACATTTGATCCTCACAAGTTGTTATTGAATTAAAAACAGATTGGAGCAAATTGCATGGCCATGACAGTCAGGGCATTGCGTGGTATCCATCATATCAGTAATATTTCAAACGTATCAAAGTGCCCGTTTTCATTTTTTTGGGAGCTACTGTTTGGAGAATGGGAGTCATTCTAAAATGTGTAGAAAAACGAATGTTTTTAATCACTGGTGAATCATCTTGCAAGGTAGAATGTAGTCTTGGTGCCTGATGTTTTTAGCGTGGTAGTTCACGACAGACAGTATCTTTGTACCACGTACCGTGCAGTTCCCATTCACGAACCTGACCTCATCGACGAACTGCACGTATAGACTGTTGGGGCTGGCGTGTGTGATAAGGGCGCTCTCTCAATTGCTGCAGTCACACTGCACTGCTAAGGACAGCTGGAACCAAGACAAGTAGAGCGGTGATACTTAGGCAAGGATAGCTGTAAATGTTTGAGGTCAGGGGTCAGGTCCTTGTTATCACAGACTCGTGCATGTGTACAAAGTGTATGACATGATAAGTACTATAATTTATTTTACAGATTGTATTTATGAATACAAATACACTGTATGTTATTCTAAATCAATGAAAAGTGCTAGGATGCTCTTGAAAATGTCATTAAATTTGTGTGTGCTTGTGAGTGACACTACTGTGGTTGTTTACTATTGTTTAATCACTTGGGATGTTGAAGTTGTAAAACGGGACAGACGCCAGTGAATGTTTTGCAAGGAAACGTTTGCCTGCAGACAATTATGTTTTCAGCACCCAAGTAAAGCCCATTAACATAATGTGCATGCCTCGGTTGGTAATGGAATGATTCTAGGACTTAATGTTCCTTAAACAAAATCCTCCACGGCCACGAATTGGGGGGTGGGGTGGGGTGAGAAATTTATTTCATCGATCAAAATAAGACTTGCACTCAATTTAAGAAAGAAAATTCAGTCATGTGAGATGGTCCATGCATGCACATTAATGTAACTGACTTTACCAGCCTGCAGCAGAAGACTATTGCTGCCTGCTGGAGGTGATGACCAATAATGAGCTACCACACTGCAAAGGCTATCATGTCAAAATATAAACTAGAGGTGTATAGCAGTTAAAAAAATAGCGACTAGATTTTGCCACCTAGGATGGGACCGGAAAGTGAATTTCTGGGATCCAGGCCCATGGACTAGTACTGTTGCTTTCATTTTTCGTTTTTTTTAAGGCGCCAGACAAAAAATTTGCATGGAAGAACATAATTATATGCCTGCATTTCAAACTCTGTCATTGTGTTCATCAGCAATCAACAACTTCAGTTTGTTACAACACACTGAGGGGAAAATACCAAACACCGTTTTTCTTACTGGCATTCCTCACTTATTTTGTTCTTATTTGTAGGTGACGATACTATCCACTGTACAAGTTTTACAATATGAGAAACATAAACAGCTAAAACACAAACAAGGACTTGTAACATCAATACAATTTATAATTTTGAAAATGAATAAGTTAACATTTGAAGTGGTACAAAAAACTTAAACTTTTTTGAGATGTCGTGAAAATATAGTTACTAGCAGAATCAAAATATTCTACATCTCTGGGCTTAATTTTATGGTGCTGATACCTAATAATTTTCAACTGATAAGCTGAATTTATGTACTAATGGAACCGCTCTCAACTTCACAGAAACTACAATCAGTAAGCACAGCAACAGAGCTGCCTACTTGGCAGCCGAAACATAAAGCGAAATCTCCATCAAGTCCTCAGCGTTCATCTGCCTCGGCTGTAAATATGCACTTTTAATAAAAAAACTAATGCCATTACCTTGTTTGCAGACATTACAAATTGCCTCAGCTACTGAGCTGAAATTCACAGTAGAAACAGAATACACCAGAATTATTCTCATGTAAGTCGTGATTGTGAAAGGGCCTGGCCATTGAAAACTCTTGAAGATAATTCCCTACCAAGACCTTGTGTCTAAGTCTTGCTATCAGTATGACATTAGTATAATGAGGGATATTAGAATAAAAAAATTAAAAAGAATATAGTACATATACTCCAAATTTCTTTCTCTAAAATACAATATCAAGATAAATCAAATTAGGTTTTGCCCTTCACCGACGTTTTTAAACACTGTATACTCAGTGAGTTACCTCCCGAGTGAAAGTTGGAAAAAAATCACTCGGGTGTGAAAGTTTTTCCAACTTTCACTTGGGAGGTAACACACTGAGTATACAGTGTTTAAAAACGTCGGTGAAGGGCAAAACCTAATTTGATTTATATCACCCAGGCGCAAAAATTCCATCTTATAATAATATCAAGATAAATATTAATATCTCATAAATGTAATGCCTCTAATACTTCATCAGCGTTCTTAGAGCCAACACTTAATTTATACATTACACATATTGAACTTTAACACATTTTAACAAAACTGAAATAGTACCAAATTACAATGGATATTTTACAAGTACTGTAAAAACCGCTCTTATCTCTTGAGGTAGCCAGCTCTAAAATTTTACAATCTTAGGTCTTAACAAAAAATGTCACATTTCACTTAAAGCTTTTTTATTTTAAATCCGTGCACATAAAATGTGAAATACAGGGTTGCAAAGTCATGAAAAAAATCCTGTACAACCCATGCATGACCATCTGCAGTTTCTGGTTCGTTAGTCAAAACGTCATACGCGCGCACCACTGATTGCTTGCACCCATTGGATAAACACTCAAGTTGCGTTAACTTCCAGTTCCATTCGTGCTATGCTACGCCGTGTGAAGTACGCATGGTTGAATTGAGATGACGTCACACCAACGAACCGGATACCTGGCTATCATTTAGTGCATATACACTATGCAGTTTCTATAGTTGTACTGAAGTTTAGAGCTTTGTACCATTCAAAGCTTTGGGGTACTGACACTGTGAGGGGAGGTGCAGGCCATGAAAAAGTGGGAGCATTGGATACTAATACATGTAATAATCTTTTATAGCACCAAATCCATCAAACTGATGCTCACTGCTGTGAGGGGGAGGTGGAGGCCATCATCTTGATGGTAATGCACATTGCATAGACCTTTATTTTCAGTGTTATGACTGGCCAGTGTATTGTAAATGGCTCTAAGATGCCAATACAGCCTAGGAATTGGTCATGAAATGCTCTCATTTTGTTCTGGAAAAGTCTTTGAAATGTCATGGAATTTCATTTTAAGATTTTGAGAGAACCCTGAAAATTGAAGTCATGAATTCCATAACAGATAGTGACAAATCAAGTAATTCTGCTCCAGCCTCTTGGTAATTTCTGTCTCTGCATACATGCTTTTTTATGTACAAGTTGACAAATATCCCTGTGACCCATTTTAAAGGAAATAATGACAAAACAAATTACCAAATTGAATACAAATTCAAATGTTCTGGAGCTCACGAGAATCATCAGGTTATCATACAAAATACCCAAAGAAATCTTGTGAAGAACCTTATTATCCCCAAGTTTTATTTTTATTTCAACACAATTTGTTTAAACCCACCAATAATGTTTTAAAAAGACGAGAGTTGTGTTTCTTTCCTGAGTTGGTTGGAAGCTTTAGTTGGAAGCTGAATAGTACGCTAAACTCGGTTCTTAATGAGGGGAATGCGACCTCCATGTCAGAATCCCAGGACAGCGATCAATTACAAAAGGTTTAACACTGAGTTTAATGGCACCAACTGTAAAACACTGGGATGGCTGTAGGGAGGTTGCTGGTTCAAATCCCACCTCAGAAAATAATTAAAAACGAATTCGGTTCCAGAATACAAATGCTTACAAACACCCAATCTAGATGACCTAAAAATCAGCATTCAGTGTAAAGACGTGTCTGTCATCGTCTGCAGCCATTACGTTTGCTCGCTGGTACTCGGCCACTCGCTTCTCAAAGAAATTGGACTTACCTTCCAGGGAGATAGATTCCATGAAGTCAAAGGGGTTACACGTCTTGTACACCTGTGATAGGAATAGAAAATGATCTATACTTAACAACAGGATTGATTTTTTATTACAGATCTTTGACTGGAAACGTTAGTTGCCTAAGTTTGTAGAGATGCAGACACAAGTTGAAGTGAATCTTATAACAATGCCACACATTGTTAACGGCACCAAATGTAACACCTCTTTTAACATCCTTTGAAATACTTCACTGGCTTATCATTTGGAACAAGGTGTAACAGGGTGCATATAGTTGTTTTCTCTTCTTGAGGCATGCATGAATAATGCTATTAAAAGGATTTTTAATATTTTTTTTTGTTTTTCAAGAAATGTCCATTGAGAGTGGCATTAGCTATGATGCGAATAAACCAGTGCTATGGTCAGGTTCATCACTTGTCCTCACATCATCCAGTCCCAAGTCATCTCACAAGTTTTTCAAATGAACTGCGACAAAGACATTCCTTTGTTATTGTTCATCCAGTTACTTGTTACTGGATTTGTGATGCACTGAACAACACCACTGCACAAAACATCCTCAGCACATAACATTTCCATCTTGAAGCCCATAGAGGACTCAAAGTAGCTTCAAAAGGAAAGGCATTAAAGATCATGTGAATTGTGGTCTAAGAAAACCTGTTGCATGTCATTGATATCATTTTCCAGTACAGAGCAGAAATACACACAAAAAGTTATTTTCCAAATTTCTTTTTGGGGCAAATATAATGTTGACATCACTTTGGTTGTTTATGCTGTTTCAGACTAAAAAAATCACATTTCTCGGAATAGCATTTTGGGATTTTCATACCATCAGAAATTTTGGTAAAGAAGTTGTTCAATGTAATATTTAAAGTTCTATGCTGTAAACCATTAAACTCTATAATGATAATAATAATAGTTCTGGGTTTCTTTGGTCAGCATGTGAAGGGTTTTCCAGTTTGCAGCACGTAGTATGTGAACATTATACCTTGTGGCAATGCAGCTCCATCAGCAATCTGTCAGCCACAAACTCAATGTACTGTAACATGAGCTCAGCATTCATTCCAATCAACCTGACTGGCAAGGCCTCTTGAAAGAACTGCTTCTCAGTCTCTACTGCCTCTAAGATGATCTCCTGGATGCGAGTAGGGCTAGGCTTGTGCACAATGTAAGTGAAGAGATGGCAGGCAAAGTCACAGTGTAGACCCTCATCACGGCTGATCAGCTCATTAGAGAATGTCAGGCCAGGCATCAAACCCCTGCAGTGTCACAAGAATGTTGACCAGTCTCTCAAGAATTTTGATTGTCCAAAAGGATTTTAAAACAAGTCTCAAAACATAAAATGCTTCCAACTGCAACATGTGAACTCTGTTAATCTGTCAAGTATTAAAATACACCACCAAGAATGGCTCCAAAACCACAGCACTGATTGACAATGGCATGGATGGGTGCACTACAACCATTTCCTATTTGGTTTGTAGAATCCAACATTTGAAATTACCTCTTCCTCAGCCAAAATATAGCTGCAAATGATCCCGAGAAGAAGATGCCTTCCACTGCAGCGAATGCAACGAGTCTCTCTCCAAATGTAGCTTCCTTGGCATGAATCCATCGAATGGCCCAGTCAGCTTTCTTCTTGATGCATGGCACTAGCAAAGTAAAATGGACATGATTATGTGCTTTAATAAATAAGACTTTATCAATCCAATCCCATCTAAGACAAACAATTCTATGT